CAGCAGCACAGGGTTTGCTGTGAAACAGCCCAAATACATCCTTGATGCTTAACACTTGGTTAAGTCAGCAGTAGTAAAGCTGCCCCTGGAGCACTTAGAAAAGTAGAGAAAAGTGGTGGGGTCACAAGGACAAAGATGGACACTAGTAAAGAAAACATGGGAGATGAGCCACAGAGATTTGCATTCTTGCTTCTTGCAGGGGACTGAATTTGAGAGAGGAGAGGGACAGATCAGAATTCCTTAACACTATGAACTACACAATTGGCACTCACACATGGACCAGCCAGAGTGCCCCCCTGCTCCTCTTCATAAAGGTCCAAGAATTAAGATGCAGGATACAACATCAGCAATGCAATACAAAGACTGCATAATGGGCAGTAAATTAATTTTGATTTTCAAGATTCTATACTGAAAAAAACCCAGAATATATTCTGCCCACTTACTGAGTGAAACAGCCCATCATGCTTTACTAGGGCAGACTGTCCTTCAGAAGGTCACTTCATTTTCTCTAGTATCTATACTTTTTCCCCATTTCAAAGCAGAATAACCCATGTCAATCACTTCATACAGTAACTCAAAAAATAATTCCCATGTACAAGGACAAGCACTGAATTCATAGTGTAGCTGCTGTGAGTCACCAGAGTCAGAAAACCAAGTTTTATATACGTGTATGTATATATATATATATATAAAACCACTCATTTAGACTAGTTTTCTTTTCACCTGGAAAGTTGCCTTTGCTCATTTTCTCATAGAGCTTTGCTTTCTCTTCTAGCTTCTTCCTGAAAAAGAAAAGCAAAGCAAACCAAACATTGCAATCCCACCAATTCCAAACACAGTTAAAATAACCAATATAGCCTTAGAGAAATGGAACAGCAAAGTACCAGGAGCACTTGAGATGTTTACTAGAAGCTGACTGATGCCTGGTTTTGGTTTTGAAGCCTAACTGACGTTTCTGAAGACACATATCCAGTTTCTGAGTTCATAATGAAAAGCATTCTAGTGAAGTTACAGAATTAATCTTAATTGTAAGTCAAGTATGTGGGAACAGGATGTATTCCAAGTATTCCACCTCTAACTACTACAATTAGTAGTACTGGAAGTACTGACAGTTATTCAGTACTGGAAGCTATTTGCAGGTATGAGATACCGAAATACTCTTTCACAAGGAAGGGGAAGGAAAAAAAGAGATCATGGAGTTACACTGAAGCTTAGAAACTGAAGAGAAAACCTGAGCTCTTTTCTGGAATGGTAGAAGAAAAGTTTGAAGAGCAAGGACCTGCTTACAGAAAAACAGCAAATGGTTTATAATTCACATTTTTAACATATATCTTATTGTATAACTCACATGCTTAGAAGAAGAGCTAAATCTTGAAATAAAATGAACTGGTTTCTGTCCAAGAAACACTTTGCTATAGAATTCTAATGTACTGCTGCCCTGGCTTTTAATGCTGAAGATGACTTGCAAAAACCAGTAACTGATAAACTGAGAGAGCTCTGATAACGTGAGGGCAGCCCCAGAGCACGAGAGTGCTGGGATCCAGTTTGTACGTTACTGATGAAGAGCATGAGATCAATGCTGGTGTTACTGGTTGGTCTAACGAGAACTGCTGGTCCAAAACACATGTAACTTACTTTATGTGCTTTTCTAAACACTGGAAAGCAAATTCTAGAAAGCATTCCTTCCTTACAGAGCCTGAGAGCTACCTTGATGTATCCAGTATCTGCTCCTCTTCCTTCTTCTGCTCAGCATCTTTCTCAGCTCGATTTGCAACTCCTGTGTTTTGTTTGTTCCAGATACTTGGTTTCTGTGGGTACAATTTTATAACAAATAATAAAGAAATAAGTAAATAATAATGCTGAAATGGCTAATGATTAAAAACTATTTCAACTCCACAATGCAAACTCTGCAAATCAATCATGAAAGAGTTTGTAAGTAACAACTTAACCATGACTGACTTGAGACTACCCCTGCTGAGTTGTAGGACAGAGCAGGTATGTCCTAAAATTAGACTGCAGTAAAATCTAACAGTTAAGGACAGGCTGAGAAGCAAAGAAAAGGTACTTAGAAATCAAACAAGATCTATTCTGATGAAGATGTTAAGGTAAAAACAAAACAGTAATTGGCAAGATTGTTCTTATTAAAGTAACAAAGCTATGAATTGTTTCTGTTCTCTATTACCTTCATTTTAGATACAAAAAACAATGTTTGCCCATTTGCAGCTTAACCCTGTAAATGCTGCTTGTTCTTCAAATATAGCAGCAATGCTGAATTCTACTACTGGAAAGCTACACCACGAATAAAAACCAATGTGCAGTAAAGAATAAAATATGAGAGAACTGTGCATATTATGCATTGTAATATAAAAGAATTGAGAGCAAAGCATTCATCAAGGAAGTTCAGTGATTCTGGAAGAGTCTTTCATCCTCCCATCCTTCAGGGAACAGCACAAAATCTTGGAGAAAAAAGAAAAGCAGCATCTTTTTCTGCAGTGAAAAAGCTGTGGCTCCTGGGGAATGAAGGTTAAGAGCAGATTCAGATGGGCATAAACCTGAGACAAGTTCTCTGCTATGCACAAGAATCTCACCGAAGTATGAAATTTAAAGACCACCCTCATTGTGTACATTTTACATTTGAGGAGTAACACAGCTCCGAGTATTTCTTGATTTAGATTTGATTAGGAGCTTCTTTATTTTAAAAAGAAAGAAGGACCAAAACAACAATGGAAAAAAAAAATCCTACCTTATTAGAAGTCCTGGGCTTTGGGAAGACGCCAGCATCTTTCAGGAGCTTTTCTTTCTTGAATTCCTCTTGCTTTCGGAAGAGTTCTGCTTTGAGATCTACCAACTACAGCAATAGCAAAATAAACCAGTAAATAACCAAGATACTTCACACACTTTTGATACATCAGTTACTGTAATAAATAACTGTATTTCTAGTTAAACTATCTGGCATTTACAGTTACATGAGCATTTGACTGCATTTTTATGGGGAACTTTGGAGTACTGATGCTATCAAAGATGACTCCAATTTTACAGCAAATAATACACAAACCCCACAAGACAAATTACTATTAAGGATTTAATAAAACCCGAAAGATATCCTCTGGTACATAATGGAAATGAGAGACATCATTCCATACAGATTCCACCGGCCTCCCAGTGGCAAACAAATAGAGGAGAACTAATGAAATTATTATGCTGATTTTGAAAAGGAAACTTCAGCCATTAGATAAGAATCCTGTCTCAGAAAAAAGCTGATAAAAGTCTGCTCTCATAAAACACATACACTTGCCCACTGGTTTATATACTGTTTATATAGATGTTTCTTTCTTCTTCTTTTTCCCCCGAATAAATACAGAAGTAGCATTGCCATTTTGACCAATGTCCATCTCCTCTGTTATTAGGAAACATCACCAGCCTGGGTAATATCTTGATATTACATTAATAAACCACATCTGGAAGAGGATGTTGTGCCCCTTTCCCTGCCAGCCCTACAGAACACAGATCTCACAGACGTACATTACATCAGGAAAGGGGAACACTTTGGTATTAACAGTGTTTGGAAACACTAAAGCATTTGCTTTTCAAGTCCCTGTAACAACGATGCACGGTGTTGTAAATTAACCTTTCTCCTCACTGCTTAAAAGTGATCATCCAAACCCTCAGTGTTAAATACTTCATATACAACAACTCACCGTTTACACTAACTAGTTACTCAGAAAAATGAAGTGTTTGGACAAAGTCCCTTATTAACAGACTGCTGCAGAGCAGTGAGGCACAGCACTGGAGAGCTGTCCCCAAGGCTTAGGAAAAAGAGGAAATCATAGAATCCCAGACTGGTTTGTGTTGGAAGGGACCTTAAAGCTCATCCAGCTCCAAACCCTGCCACAGGCAGGGACCCCTTCCACTGGAGCAGCTTGCTCCAAGCCCCTGTGTCCAACCTGGCCTTGAACACTGCCAGGGATGGGGCAGCCACAGCTTCTCTGGGCACCCTGTGCCAGCGCCTCAGCACCCTCACAGGGAAGAGCTTCTGCCTAAGAGCTCAGCTCAGTCTCCCCTCTGGCAGGTTAAAGCCATTCCTCCTTGTCTCATCATTATACCCCTTATCAAAAGCCGCTCTCTTCGTTTTCTTGTAGCCCCTTTATGCACTGGAGCTGCTCTAATCTCTCCCTGGAATCACGCTTGGTGAGGAAGACAAACGAACCAAACCCGCAGCCCAAAACGGGACTCCAGACCCAACGCTCTCCATCCATGCACCCACCAGCACCTGCCTCACTGACTGCGCAGGTCAGCGGGGGACAGAAAGCACGCCCCTTGTTTTCTTGTGCTGGTTTCTCGGGGAGCGGCCTGCACCGGCCGAGCCCGTCGGCCGGAGCGGGACAGGGCTGGCCGCCCTCACACCGGACAGGCCTCCCCGATGAGACAGGGAGGTTTCGTTTCCTTCCCCACCCCGGTCGCTGACCCACTCACCGAGGAGGCGGCCACCTCCAGCGGCTTCTTCCTCCGGTCCATGGCGCTGCCGGCAGCCTTCTTCCGAGCTTTACGGCCTTACCGTAAAGCGTAGCGAAAGCGAGGCCTTGTTGCGACAGTGCTGGTGAGGGAAGGCGGGCCCTTTCCTGCCACCATGTTGGGGAGGTCAGAGGGGCTCCGCCTTGGTGCGGTCCTATCGGCACTATCGAACCTCATCGTGGCTTCGGGCCGCGTATGTGCGGCGGTGACAGACCCTTCCTTCTCTAGAGCCTCTTGTCGTGACCGTAGGGCAGCCTGCGGGCGAATCTGAAGTGCTCCCTGGTGCTGGAGACAGCCGTGTCCTTCAGCACCAGGCTGGGTTTAGCCCTGTGGCTGTTGCTCTCAGGGCTGCTTTGTTTAAAGCACACGCTTGGGATGAAGCGTTGTGGCTGTTCTGCTGCCTAGAGCCTGCTGCTTGCATGGAGCCCTGCTGAGGGAGGTGGGATTAATGAGCCACAGCTCATTAACACTGTGTCGTCCATCATAGGTAAATACAAACCCACCTCTATCAATAATGACCGAATACAAACCCACCTGTATGCATAGTAACCAAATACAAACCCACCTGTATGCATAGTAACCAAATACAAACCCACTTCTATCCATAATAACGAAATACAAGCCACCTGTATCTATAACAGCCAAAACTCACACGTGCTGAACCCAGCCCTGTAACCTCAGAGGTGAGCACAGGTGACTCTTAGGGAATGAGTTTCACTTACCCAGGGTAGCTCATTGTATCTGTTACCATCCCCATGAAGAAAAAGGGCTGTGGTAGGTTTTAATTCACAGTGGTTCTGAAGATCATCATTATCTGGAGTCGCAAGAGGAAGCTGCCTTTCACTTGTCTTTAATAAAGTGGCAATATACAAGGTGCTGCGATGTTGTTGCTTGGCAATGTGACAGCTGATGGAAGCGCCTGATACAGCTCCTTTGGTCTGTGAAGTTTATTGGTGTTGTGTTTGGGAGCTGGGTCAGGCTCATATTTAAACAGTGGATGCAGAACTGCAGAGCTGACAGAGACACTCAGCTGCTAAGTAAGCTACAGCTGTATTCTGGGGAGCATGAAGTGTGCCATTCAGAAGGAGCAGTTTCTGGCCCTACTGAAGCTGTCTTAGAATCATAGACTCATAGAATAGTTCGGGTTGGAAAGGACCTTAAGATCATCCAGTTCCAACCCCCCTGCCGTGGGCAGGGACACCTCACACTAAACCATGGCACCCAAGGCCTCGTCCAACCTGTCCTTGAACACTGCCAGGGATGGAGCATTCACAACCTCCCTGGGCAACCCACTCCAGTGCCTCACCACCCTAACAGGAAAGAATTTCCTCCTTATATCCAATCTAAACTTCCCCTGTTTCAGTTTTAACCCATTACCCCTTGTCCTGTCACTACAGTCCCTAATGAAGAGTCCACCCCCAGCATCCCTATATGCCCCCTTCAGATACTGGAAGGCTGCTATGAGGTCTCCACGCAGCCTTCTCTTCTCCAGGCTGAACAGCCCCAACTTCCTCAGCCTGTTTTCATACGGGAGGTGCTCCAGTCCCCTGATCATACTCGTCTTGCTTTGGACTTTTTAAATGGGGAGAGGTGGGAGACAACAGACACAGAAAAGTGCAGGTCATGTCAGAGCCATGAAGTTTGCTGGTTTCATCTGCGACGGGAGAAGGGAACTGAGCATTACTGAAAAACAGGACGAAGGAATGAAACCATCTGCGCTGCTCTGATTAAATCTCACTTCAACAAATCACGCATTGGTGCCTGTGCAAACCTCAGCAATAGCACTGAGAAGGAAATCCAGCCCAACCCCAGCCCAGGGTTGGCTCTGACCAATTCCCACCCTTCCTTTGGAGGCATGGCCTGTGCAAGGCACATTTCCCCCCCTGGAGTGCATTGATTCTTCTCCACATTGTTCCCATCCTACATTACAGCCATAGGACTCACTTGTTCACCCATTGTCACAGGTTTCCAGCACTTTCAGGAGCTCAGGAGTAGTTTTATCTTGAGACTCCCATAGCATGAAGTGTTCCTGAAGAGCTGGCAGTCAGCCCCACTCCTGTGTACCTCTTTATAACTGCAGGTGCAAAAACACATCAAGAAATCTCAGTCTCCTGAAAACCTGGCCTGTAGAATATGATGTTCACTGGCTAAGCTCAATGCCTGAGGCTCCGGGGTAGAAACCCTACGTGTAATGTAACACTAGAGAGCTGCTTGGGGACTTCAGTGCTGCTTAGGCTTTCTGACTCGAATCTAAAAGGATGCAAATGCTGAGTCTATTTGGGCTACATGTTTTATCCTGTTATCCCTCCCCTTCAGATGCCTGAATCCAGACCTTTGCTTGCAGGATTGGCACTGCCTAAGCCCCTGTAAGACTGTTTGCAGCTCCTTACTGCATTATGTCCTTCCTGTTGCATTTTCATGCTATGGCCTGCCCATCACTCTTAGCAAACTGCTTTCGGCACCATCCCGCATTCACTTCCTAGTAGCACTTTCCATCTTTACAAGCAAACTGACCTTCTCTTGTGATGTTAGAAGCAAATTCTGCTTTTCCACATGTACAAATCTGGGGTTTTGTTTGCTTTGGTTTGGTCTTGTTCTGTTTGTGCTCTCCTTGCACTCTCTGGTTTTGTATTCACCTGCCTGAACTGTGCTGGAACAGCACTCTTTGTTACGGGTGCTGCATAAAATAGCTCAGTATCATCCCAGCAGCTGTCTATGTTCTTGGATAGTCATAGGGGATGTGTGAAGATGGAATTAGGCCCTGGAGGTGCCAGCATCTCCTTTCTGGTTGAGGGTGAGGTGCATGACCAGGGTTGTAAGGAAAACCGTGCTACCGAGTGACTGTGTCACAGGATGTGGAACAAGGGATGAATCTTAGGCACTGCAAGCTAGCTCGTGTTGTTGCTGTGAGCAAGGACCACAGAGATGGAACTTCAGTGCTTGCAAGAAACATATTTAGCTCATGTTCCCTCTCAGCATCAGCATCACTAGCAGGCAGTGGCAAAAGCAGAACTGGACAGAGGGGAGCCCCATGCTTGCTGGAGCAGTGGTGTTGCTCTGTGTGCTGCCGTGCTCTGTAAGGGGTGTAGGACTCTGCACTGCAGCACACATCCAGAGATATGGCTTTCAGAGCACTCTGTAAGTGTTGGTTCAGTAGTTTTGTATTTATGGTCTGACAACTGACAAGCTTTCCCACATCTGGTTCCCACCAAAAGGCTCGATATCGACTCTACCCAGTGGAAGGCTGTTGTGCGCATTTGTTTCTAATCCAGCCCACAGGCATTCATAAAATGCCAGTGAGGGAGGGGGAGCTGGAATAAGAACAATTCCAAGTTGGGAAACAAAATCAGCTTGACCTAAAGGAATGAGGTGGGGAAGGGGAGGAATCTCTCTGTGTGTATAGCACAGACAGAAGTGTAGCTCTGCTTATTTCCTACTGGGAGCCTGTGAAAACTCTATAAACTACCATGTCTAATCTTAGCAGATAGCCTGGAATTCCTGGGGAAAAACTGATTCAACATTTCTAATTAGTATGCTGCTCATTTAGCACGAGGCCTAATTGTGTTTGCTTCCACAAAGCTGCACAACACAAAAAGCTTGTTTGTTATTTTGGGGGAAGACGGGCGATTGCAGCGGATTGTTCCGAGGGGATTTTGGATGACTCCGTGGCGTGTCAGCGTCTTGGGAGATTGGTGGGAGATGCTGCACAAACATGGAATTAATCAGTTGTAAAGCTTCAGTGTGGATTTCTACGCAAACTAGACTTACAGGAGCCCCTGTAACATCAAATTACATTGATGTTTGGGAGATCTGCTGTTGTGAAACTGATTCTCTTATCACAGACATGAAGGTTTCATCCTCCCCTAAGGCTCTGATGTTCTATCTCACTTTCTACATCTTGGCTTTAAGATGAAATAAAACTGTGGACAAATAACAGCTGAATGTTTTGTGAGATAAGCCTTAGTGCTAGGGCGCTGTGTCCTCACACAACTTCATAGACACTTGACATAAGGCAACTTATCCGTCTTTCTCTAAGGAATGGAGAAATTCCTTCTGGTTTTCTTTTTCCAGGCTCTTCATCTCAGAATTTATCATATGAAAGTGTTTGTGCTGTGTCAATAAATGCCTTTTTAAAAACAGAGCAAGGGTTTTTTTGCTTTCCATGGTTTGCATATGTACATATACTAAAATGTTAGTTCATTGAATTTGTTTGTCTTGGTGTGTGTGAGGCCAAAACCAACTGGGGCACAAGCAAAATTGTTTGCAAACTACTGATTCTTGTAACATGAGAGATCCCAGAGTGTTTCTTTCCCCCGTAGCAGAGATTCCATCTCTTCCCAAGTCCCAGCATACCTTTTGTTAACCTACTTCCCTTTATTTTCCTATAGGGACCTGAAGAATACTCCAGGTTTTTGTATTTCAGCATTGCATTTTCAGAAGTGTTGAATTCAGCAAAACAAGAAACCGAAAGCCCTTTGGTACAAATCCTAGATGGACATTATAGATGATTGCTTTTAGCAGGAAGACCAGAAGTTAAAATCCTCTGGGTATGTTATTAGCAGGTGTGCACGTTAGGAGAAAACGGTATTTCTTTGATAAGGAGAGTTTTGCACGATCTTAGGCAGAAAACAGAAACCAGAAGTGGTGCATAATAATAGTGTTTAACCTCTTTCTTGCATGCATGGTTTTGCCTCTTGGGTCACAAGCTGCAATGCCAGATTGCTTTTGTGCTAGCTTATTTTTGCTTGCAGCCTACAAAAGAAGCACAGGAGACAAATCTGGTGGTGGCTTAATGCTAAATTGAGAAGAGATCTAAAGTAGCCTTGTTCTGTGGGAACCTGTATTTTAGGTCCAGTTTTATAAAGCACTTGAAATCGTGTCTTGTGTCAACAATATTGTTCTCTCTTCTCTCTTTGTGGTGTGAGAAATTGAGTGCTGTTATGTGCCACTTGTATAGAAATTGTAATTCCTCTCAAACACGGCTAGAAAGGAGGGATTCCCTAAGAGCATCCATCAACTTAGATCAGAAATAGGCTTAATGTCATCTTAAAACAGAACCTGTGGGAGGGAGATAGTTATTGCAACTGGAATTAGCTTAGAAAACTGTTATTGAGAGCCATGATTTTTTAGTAGGCTTTTTAGCAAGCCTTGATGAAAATGGGCATAACAACCCTTCCTCCTCTGGGGAGCATGTTCTGATAGGCATAAGAAAAAACGAGTACCAGTTCTAAAGATGAGGTTTGTCACTATTTTCCTGTACTAAGGGTTATAAATACATATATTTGCTAAACTGGAGATGTAAGAAGCAAGCAAGTTCCATTGAAAACTGGTTTATCGGTTACACTGGGGCGGGGGGGGGTGGGGGTGGCTGTGGATATTTTCATCCTCTGAACAGGAACCCAAAGCTATTGTATGACACTGTATTGTGAATATATTGTTGTCTGTGGTTGCTGTGTGGCTGGCATAAAAGGCAAGCATGCCCTTTAAGGACTTGCTCAGCTCCTTGAGATTTACCCATTCATCCGTCCACCCTTCTCTCACCATCTGTTTCTTTCGCTGTGGACATGTGAAGTTGCTCCATCCCTGCAGCAAAATGCAGCCTGGATGCTCACAAACAGGATTTTGTAGGAAGCAGAGTTTTCCTCTCTTTGCAAGCACGGATGGACTTGATCCCCATCAAGGTGTAGCCCTATAAAGAAGCCGGGTTTTGGGTTCCAGCTGCACATCTGCAAGCTGCTTCAGGACACTACAGACTTGGGTTTCTTTGTCTCTAAGTCTGGGATGCCAGGCTGGAGGAAAAGCCTTGGTTTTTGTCTGCGGAGAATGCAGGACAGAGGTAAGGCAACAAGGGAATATGTGGAAGGTGAGGCTGTAATCGGGGGGATGCTCATGAAAAGGGGTTGGGTTCAGTGTTTCTTTTACTATTCATTGGTATTGCTGAATACTCCAAAACTTATGACATTTTATTTAAAAAAAGAAACCCACAATTGTAGCTTTCCCATTAAAAAGCATATTTTTAACTTGAAATCTGCTCCTTTTCCAAAGTCCAGGTCCAGATCTCCATGAGGATGTTGTTAGTGAATGAATGCCTGCTTTGCTTGCAGCTTTGTCTTTAATCTGAGCCTGGCCTAGCAGATACAGCTTTTACAGTGGTAAAGTTGTGTCTATTTAAAAGCATCTACCAGAGCATAACAGCTGGGAACTGTGAAGCTCACGTACCTACTTCATGCTCTGTTTTACTTCTCCTAAAGAAAACGCTGGGCAATTGATTGTGTCAGGTAGACAGAGATGTGCTCATTGTGGCTGTGACTTTCCAAAGAGAACACTTTCTAGCTTCGAGTTTAAACCCTGTTATTTATGTTCAGTTAGTGTCAGGGTGATGATGTGAGCCATATTTATATCACCTTCACTGCTTGGGAAATGCTTCTGTTTATATCCCGCTGTTGGAGCTGAACTTTTTAAACCAGCAGGCTTGTGGCAGGAAATCCATGTTTTCTGACATGGTGACAGGAATCTGGGTCCCATAGCACATTGCTGGACTACTTAGGAGGAGGAAGAGGGATGATTTATATTTACTTGTTCTAGTGCAGTATCATAGCATTGCTGCTGGTGCTTTTT